TTAATGTAGAAGAAGAAGCCTGTAAAGAATAACAACCCATAAAATTATGAACGCTGATCTTTCGGCCTGAGGAGTATACATGCAAACAATATCAGTTAACCTTCTTGTACGAATAACTCACACGAGCGTTAAAATTGGATTAGAATGTGACTTCTTTTTCTGTCATACCTAAGAGCCCGAATGAATAGTGGATTGGGATATATTTAGGGGTTAACCAGAAGATTATGCCTTAAGACTGAAAAGTGCGGCAGTTCGACACTTCACTTTCCCAGGAAATATATGCTTCAGAGGGGGAAGAAATTTTATGTGAAGTAGAATATATTTTTACCTCATGAACTCAGCGACGTTCGTGAGTGTAATTTATATAGAATTTGAGGATGCCGAAGAAATAGAACATTGTAGGCCTATTACTATTACTTGTAAGTGATCATATGGAAATATCCTTCCCTCGATATATGAGAAAGAGTAACAAAAAGAAAATCACAGACATTTCTTTTAATTATATACATTTATATTGGAGCTTCCGATTGACTACATACAATGTCGTACAAATTAATTATAGTTTCGCATTATTTTTTAAAATGCAAAGGGAAACAGTATACACTACATAAAATGGGAGCATGGACAAATAATGTGCTGATAAGGAGGAATTTCCCTTATATTAGTGAAAATCGATACAGTGACTGAGTAATATATAATAGGGTGTGCAGACTGCGGAAAGAATTAATAGCCTTTTAGAGGGATTTTTCCCTGTAACGTCCTGTAGGACTTATGAAATTACATAAACAGGCTTCACACGGAAAGGTTATAGATAATAAGAAATTTCAATTTGCTATGTAGTTTAATAAATTATGTACGAAAAAAAAAGTGGGCGCGGAAGCGGCAGGAGCCTTGCAAATATCTTACGAATGCATGAGCTGTTTGTGCTTAATATTTAACAGGTTAAATGCCTTAAAGGCCGCATCAGATTTAAATAATTCCTGGAAGAAATCGTTAAATTCCTGAGGCTCTGATGTTTTTTTATTAATCTGTAAGACGCCTGCAGTGTATGCGAATAAACAGTACTCACAATAATTAATACATGTAATAACCATCGCGGGAAAATTTCCATTTTAAAAAAACACGATAAAACCAGTATGAATAATAACGGGTATATCAAGCAGGAGCGTAAGATCACTCATTAAAACAGAACTGCTTGCAAATGTTTCGCATACTATACAAGACAATACTATCATGAGCCCCATGTGTGGGGAAGAAAATAGGTTATGTCTTTTAATTAAAAATAAAAATTTCCCTGAAGCGCGCGGTATGGTATATGGAATAGGCTGATCTTCAATGGAGAGGATTTTTTCAAGGATTTATTATTACTAATTAGAACTTGAAATTTAATTTGATGGGAAGTTCACGCAGGATTCATGTAACTTCTGCATGTACACGCCCGTGATATTTTTCTATTTGCAAATTCACTTTATTAATGTTACATTTAGAGTTAAAATGAATATTGAAATTTGAGGTATATCCTGATTATCGTTAATAATCTTCATCTTAATTAAAATTTCCTTCGATACTGTCCGAAGTGCCACAATTATAAAATAGAAAACTGTTACTATTGACCTGTTCGTATGTGCTAGAAATTAATTTCTTAAACAGTTCTGCAAGAGGACGAAATTTTCTCATTTTGTGTATCGGATTAATCGTCATATTTTAATACACGAAAAGAATCATCAAAATGGTGATTAACCAAGAATATATCAATCTCTTTTTTAAGAAGCTCACTTAGCATTTATCCCTTTCACGGGGTCTCACATCTTGCATAATGTAAGTCTCACCCATTCAAGAAGTGCTCTTTCAGGATAACATATATTCTTGCATATTGTGGGTGGCAGCTACACTCTTTAATAATCCATTGGGTTCTATACAACCTCTTTCATTAATCCTTATGTTTATGCTATATATGTTTCCATAGAGTTAAGATTGGGATTTTATAGTATATATATAATATTATAGAGGAATATGGTTTCTGTGTATACTGATATTAATTCAATATTAAAAGACGCATGTTAATTATAGTAAATGCGCAGAGTCTCTGATAAATGTGGTTATATCTTAGTTCATAAGCGTCTTCTCAAGTACATACAGGAAATATTCATGAGTATATAATTTCTGGAGTTTCCAAATTGCCCATCTATTAATGAGCTGTATGTTTACTCAGGTAAGTATCAAGACCCCGGCTCTTATTTTCTCTTCTCATTCGATAAGCAGCTTTACGATAAGAAAAACAAAAAAAAATTATTCACATATATTGTTCTTTCGGTTAGAGGCACCTTTCTTCAATAATAATCGGAGATTATCGCCCCACTTTGTAATTCCACAGAATGACGCTTTTAAAAATTGGGGTAAATGTGCAGAAAGATACATATCACACTCAGAGACGGGATTATTTTCTTCTCTGTTGCTACTGTTGCTGTTCATTTCTGCCACAAATTCATTGAGTGCGAGGTTGGAAACATGGGGTGAATGAACAGAAGCATTGGTCATCCCTCCTCGCCAAAACACATGGTCACGCAAACATCGCCTCCTCTTGGCAAGTTACAAGTATTCCATTCTCAGGCA